CGACACTCTCAGAAAAATAACAAAATAATAAAAAATATATACATTTAAAGTCAAAGCATTTCCTGGTGTCCCGTTCTCAGATGTGAGGAGTTAATGCAGCTCTTTGTCATATGATCTGAAACTGAATCCTCAGTAGGCTGAGTTCAGTATTGTTTCTTATTGTCCTTTGTTGTTTTGTCTAAGTGACTGATGGAGAAACAGCGCTGCAACGTAAAAGCTTTTTAAAGAGTAATATCCTTTTTGTCACTAAATCGCTCTCCTCAGTCACCAGACTCCATTTTATTATTTATTTTTTGTTACTTTAACGCTTGAGGCTACCTGCTTTAAAGGATGAATGCCAGTTTTGGGTTGTGAATGATGATTGAAAACCGTTTTTATTATTCTATCACCACTGTTTTAATCAAATCACTTGAATATGTGTCTATTTTTCATTTCACATCCATTTGCTCTTAGAGTTTGTGTCTGACAACATCATGGAAATGATCCCTACACACAGAGAAACCTTTTCTTAAAGAATAAGATCCTTTTTGTCACCATATCGCCAGACTCCATTGATAAATATAGTAATTCTGCCTCTCTTGTTTACCAGGGTTAGTTTGTGTTGTCATGTGACTTTCTTGGTTTTTTGACCCTCTAAAAACACACAACAACAAATTCACACGGTATCACAAACAAAAATAACACCAACAAACTTAAGTGGCCGAGGCAGCGGCAGACCGGCAACTCCTGCGTTCTATGCCTGTCAACATTAGGGAAAGGATCCCTGCAGAGAGACCAAGATCCCTTTTGTTTAACCAGAAACCGTCGATCGCAGGTTTAAGGCACTTCTGCACTGGCTTCACGTTTCAGACTGAAACACACACACATTATTTTACATACTGCAGAGTGTGCAGAGAGATCAGTGTGTCCTTCTGTGTGTGTGTGTGTGTTTCTTGCAGGGTGTGTGTCTGTCGACAGATGCGAGGAGGAGGAGGAGGAGGAGGAGCGATACTCCCCCTTTTATTCTTCCTCTCTGCTTTCTTTCTCCCCGCCCCCACTGTGTGTGTGTGTGTGTGTGTGTGTGTGTGTGTGCGTGCTGCAGCGTCTCAGTGACGGTGCTGTGCGGTCGGTTGGAGGCAGGAAGGTTTTTCTGCCGCTCAGAGAGGAGGAGAGAGAGGTCGAGAGACATTTACTGAGAGCATAGAGAGAGAGTGTGTGTCGCTGTTATTCACCGCCGCTCGGTCAGACGGACAAACGCCACACAGCTGAGTGTGTGTGTGTGTGTCGTCGGTCTGTTTGTGTGTTCTTTCACCACAGAAGAAGAAGAAAGCCGCTGTTGTTGTTGTTGTTGTTTTTCTTCTGCTGCTGCAGCAGGAGAGGGAGAGCGGGCGAGCGAGCTTCAGCTGCATTACTGCTGCCTCTGTTTAGGTACGTGTGTGTGTGTGTGTGTGTGTGTGTGTGTGTGTGTGTGTCACTGCAGCTGATTGATTATCTATTAGCTCTTGTGTTTGATTATCTGTGAAGTCATTATCAAGTGTGAGTCTGTTAATGTTGGACAAACTGCAGCCAGCTGATGTTTGATAAACAGACGATCATCGTTAATATTCATTAGTAATTGATGGATCTTTTCAGATTAGATTAATTGATGAATCGGCTCATTGTGTACAGGCCTGCAATAAGGCTGTAGCTTCTTTTATTCATTATTATGGCGGGATATTTACCTGATTAACTGATTAAAATAGTTTTGTCTGTTTACACAGAGCGAAACAGAGAAAGGCAGCTTATAGATAAATTAATTGATAACCAAGATTGCTGCTGGTTACTTTTTTAAGTTCATCAAATGTGAGATTAATCACCTTGTAGAGTTCATGTTCAGCAGTTTTTTTTCTTTTTTAGACATTAAACATTTGAGAACTTTGGATTCTTTTGTATAGTTTGTATTGTAAGTATAAGTTTGGTGACATTTGATATTTTACTCCTTGAAAAGACCAAAACAACTAAACTAAAGAGCTTGTTTTTGCCGCTGACAGGCTCAGATTGTTACTACAAGTGTCTGACAACATTATGGAAAGGATCCCTACGGAGAGAGAGCTTTGTTTAAAGAGCAAGATCCTTTTGGTTTAACCAGAAAGTCAATCTCGTCAAAGCCACCAGACTCCATTGACAAAAACAATAATTTTCTGGATAAGTTTCTGGTGAAACAAAAAGGATCTTACTCTTTAAACAAAGCTCTCTCTCTGTAGGGATCCTTCCCATCATGTTATCAGATTACGTTGCAGCCCTGTTTCACTTTTACAAACTGACCTGAGTGGAGGATTGTTTAGATAAAGTCATTATGTATTTAGACCAGCCTTGGATTATTTATTTAAATGCATTTTGAATTAAAGCAGCGATGTGTTCATGTTGTTATGGCGTATTTAGATCACAGGAATACCAAAGTGTGGACTCTCTGGCTGCTGTAGTTTTTAATCTCTCTGCTATATGATCTCCACGAGGCTCTGCAGTCTGTCTGAACAGCTGCTGGCCGTCTGTTTGTGTCCTCCGGCCTGTCTGGTTATGTACGGTGAACAGAGAGGGACAAATACCCTCAGACATCCACATTTAAAAGTCTGAAACTAACCGACGTGTAGCTCTGCCGCTAAACAGGTTACAATAATCATTTAGACCAGTGTCGTTGCTTTACTAACTTTCATGAAAGTATATTATCGTTTAAAGTTAGTGTTGTTGGAGTCCACTTCATTCAATCAACCTTTAATACAGACCACAGCAGCGGCTCTGTTTTGCATTCGATTAGGGATGCACCGAATGTTCAGCGACCGAGATTAATCGGCCGAAAATAGCAAAAAAATTACTTTCTGTGTTCGGCCTAATGAATCAAAAGACCGATTAAATTTTACTGAAGAATCATGCTGCCATGTCTGCAGTGTGGAAGAATTTTAAAGTGTCCGCTCCATCTGTGGCAGACTTCTTAGAAAAGAACCGCTTTTAGTGTTTCTGTCACTCATCTGTGAGAAGGAGATGGAGCTAGCCGCACCTACATTTGGAGTGCACACGTATTCCAGCCTTTACGGTAAGTGAAGTGGCCCAGAGCGAGCTGACAGGCAGGTTAGAGACTTTATCCTGTCAGTTTGTCTTTTTAGTATGAAGAGAGGCTGTGAAGTCTTCATGTTACGCCGTACGAGAACCACATTCAACATTCTTTATCAAACCGGGTCGGACTGGATGGACTTAGCGCAAGGAGGAAACACATGTGACAACGTCCGGTTTTCAAAATAAGGTGTCTATAGGCGGGTTTCTGTGCAACATAATCACCGAGATGCGCGCGCAACCAGGGGTCAGAAAGCAGCGCCCTGTCCTCGCGGCACATGTTGGGCAAAAGTTACTTTTTACTTATTACTCATTTAAAAAGTATTATTACTTTATTACTTTACTTGTTACTGGGTATTAAAAGCAAATAGTCACGTTACTCGTTGCTTTATAATTAACTTTCAACCACCGCACCCAGTCCTTAAAAGTGACGGGAAACCTGTTCAGCAGCGCATTTCAGAAATGAATCCACTTTACTGGAACAATAATGAACCTGAGGAGGCAACAAGCAGCCGAAGTGAAAACACTGCAGCCTGTCAGACCAGAGGATGCTGGATCATATAGGCTATTTAAAAATAATAAAAAACAAAGCAGGTCCCTCTCGACTTTTTAACTAATCACGTTTTCATAACAGCAGCAATGAGTGTGATTTTTTACAGTACATAACATTTCTTAACGCCACTGTTTGAGATAAAAAAAAATCAAGCAAGCGGTCACGCATGTTCTATTAATATGCAAAATGAAACACAAACAAACAGATCCATCTCTGAAATGGCAGTTTATTATTTGTATAGCACATTTCAACAACAAGGTAACTCAAAGTGCTTTATATTAAAGATATAAGCAACAAAGGGCTAGGGTTATAAAAAAGGGTATAAAAAAGTTTTAAAAGTTAATTAGAAAATAAAAACAGGCAGGTCTCCCTTTGCTTATTTTACTCCTTTGATTCCCCATCTCCCACTCTATCTATCTCCCACACTATCTATCTCCCACTCTATCCATCTCCCACTCTATCTATCCATCTCCCACTCTATCTATCTCCCACACTATCTATCTCCCACACTATCTATCTCCCACTCTATCTATCTCCCACTCTATCTATCTCCCACTCTATCTATCTATCTCCCACTCTATCTATCTATCTCCCACTCTATCTATCTATCTCCCACTCTATCTATCTATCTCCCACTCTCTATCTATCTCCCACTCTCTATCTCCCACTCTATCTATCTCCCACTCTATCTATCTATCTCCCACTCTATCCCCCCTTTTTTTTACACTTAACTCTAACCCTTCCTTGACTATAAATCCAGATTGTCCACGCTACAAACTCTGGTAAAAGCGGTTGACAGTGGGACCCTGTCAGCAAGTTACTTAGGGACTCCAACAACACTAACGCTTAAGTCAACAAGAATTTAAAAACAATGCGTAATCTACGTTGATTACAGCGGTTGACTACAGTCTTCTGAGAGGCTACCGAAGCGCTTTTGCCCCCTGGCTGCGCGTCCAGCAGTGTTTGTACACAAGAAACCCGTCTATTCAGGATGGAAATAAGATTAATTGGATTATATTCCCAGAAGGTATAAAACATATTACATGTGTCCATTAAAGGTAAATGGACTCATGTAATTTACTTTACCAGACCCTCTCGGGCCCCGGACCCCCTCACCATAGTCTCTCCACATCCTGTGGGAAACACTGAGGAAAAAGCACATTTTGACTGTTTAATTTATGCAGCGGTAAAAAAAATAAAGAAATGGAAAAAGGAAAATCAGGAAAATTTTTCGTTATATTAGGTTTCGGACAAAAATTTTTAATTCCGGTGCATCCCTACATTCGATAGCTGCTCTCCTTCTTGTTCCCGGACTGTAAAAACTTGAAAGTAATCAAAGTGTGTGTGTGTGTGTGTGTGTGTGTGTGTGTGTGTGTGTCAGCAGTGTGTGTGTGTGTGTTCGATGCTGTGTCCGGCCTCCTGCCTGCCCCTCCTCAGGGAGCTGGCTCAGTGGCGCTGCCTGCTGGGCTGGCACCGCCACCACCACGGAGTCGGTTCAGCTAGCGCCACAGGGCTAACCGCTAACGCAGGACAGCAGCAGCAGCAGCAGCAGCAGCAGGGGTTGGAGGTCAGGGGCCGAGCCGGTCGCCCTGTCGGCCGCACCAAACCGCTGCCGGGCAGCCAGGTGAGCCTCCTGAGAGAAATCATCGGGACGTTTGTTTTGTTCTCACACAGCAACACTGCGGCCTGTAGGGGGCGCTAGCGACAGAAGACTGACCTTTTTTTTTCATTATTGATCTTAAACAAACCGAATGTAAAGAAAAAACCCTGAGCTGCTCTGAATCAAAGCATGATCTCACCACACGCTCTCAGTCGGGGCTTTCAGCCTGATTGGTATTGATCGAGGTTTGTGTTTTTCTTGCTGAGCTCAGGATCAGGTTAGTTTCTCCTGCTGGTTAAAGGTGTTGGGGATTTGTCAGCTGCTGAAAGCTGCAGCTGTTCGCCCTCTGGTTAAAGATAAATATTAATATGAGAGGATATAGTGGAGCCGTTAATGTGATTGTGTTCTTAACGTGCTTTTTTTTTGGATTATTGGATCAGAAAGACGGAGTGAATCACTGGATATTAGAATGCAGGGAGGTTTGAAGGTGAAGCTACTGAATCAAACTACTACGTTAAACAGGAAGATGGACGAGCCGGCCGGGCTGACATATTGACGGATGTGATCTGGATCAGCATCAGTTAGAGGAATGTCAGAGATGTGTGAGGTCTTAAATGCCTCTGGATCACTGTTCTGTAAAACAACGTGAAGTTTGTGTTTGTGGCAAAAACAGAAATTCAGTATTTGTCAGGCTTTACAAACTAATGTAATGATTTATGTTTATTTTTATGAACTGATTGATGGTTTAAACGGCTCAACACATCTTTGTAGTTCTCCGCTTGTGAGGACGCACTGATATCATGCTGAACTTACAGCTGGGAGAATTGTCTTTACATCCTGACAGCAACCTATACATCAAATGCTCGGACAGAAAATCCGGGATCTGGCGCTGTGGTAGGACTGGCCTTTCTACCTCAGTGTGCATGACCATGTGTTTTGGGGAGTGGTTAGGTGGGAACTTTTTTGCGGCTATATCTGTGTTTCTCGCTGGATTTTCCAGCGTTGCCGTCTGCAGCTTTAATTTTACCAACACGTTCACGTAGACGAGCAGCTGTGATGAAAGTGGAGATATTCAATATTAACAGAACTAAACATGGCGACACTCAAGGAGGTTTCTAATCTGTTAATGTTGAGATTACAGTGACGAAGAGCCCTATTAGTCTCTCTACAGAACTTCATTTGGTGAACGTTAACACGGTGTTAACGGCGTGGACTACGTGCTGTTTTAAGCATTAATACTCGCGTTACTTTACTTTTTCTTCTTTGTAGGGTTATTGAAAGTGAGCAGAACATGTTGGAGTTGGAGTTGGAGTTACTTTGAGTGAAATTACTAAAACGCAAAAACGAGAGAAGACGTCGGAGGAGATGTTGTGTACGACCCGTGAACCTGTTGAGGCAGAAGAAGAAAGACGAAGCTACCAAGCCGACCAATCACAGTCCTTGTGGTCTGTGTCACTGCGACGTGTAGCTACATCTTTGGGTCGGCGCGCGTCGCGCTACAGCGTAGATCTGAAGCATAAATTAGCTTTTAGTTTAAGTGAATGCTCCACTATGTTCACCAGCTGCTCTCTAAAGACCAGTTTAAACTTCTGCATCAACTCTACACATTTACATTTTACATTTACTCATTTAGCTGACGCTTTTATCCAACTGCTATCTGTGAGAGGTCGCACGCACCTAGGGGTCGAGGCTCAATCTAGGGCTGAAACGATTCATCGATTAAATCAGTTGATAAAACCGCGCAGCTCTTCTAGTTATCGGACCGAATGGATCAAATTCTGTTTTGATGCTCCAAAAAAATGTATCCGCCATTTTACAGCCGCTTGTTTGGACGCTTGTAAAATTGGCCTCAAAGGACGGAGCGCTTCCTTTGGACTAAGAGGTAATGCGATGCTACCAAGCCGACCAATCACAGTTCTTGCTGTCTGCGTCGACACAACGCGTGGTTACATTTTTGGGGAGGTGTGCGTCAGGCTACAGCGTTGATTCGAAACTGGCTTTTAGCTGTGTCTGTCTGCTGTTTGCAACTTCGACCTGACTGTAACTCTAACTTGAGAACCGGGACAGATGTCCTCACTGTCGAGGTCTTAAATTGGTTCTCACAAAGATAGAAGTCCTGATGGGAGCCCTGCACAGGTTTACTTCCCTAAATCCCTTAAAAATTCATTAATGCAGCTGGATAAGAGGATTCATATCGCCTCTGTGTGTGTGTGTGTGTGTTTATTTGGGACAAGTCTAAATCCTCTGACATGTTGTCTGATCATCAGTCTGAGGTGGAAGTGTTTCCACTAACAGCCACATGAATGTCACGTCATAAAGCAGCCGTCAGTTTTTAACTCTCTCGTTGTTGTCGTCTCTTAAAACAGCAGAAAACCGGCAGCAGTCTGGTCTAAGTGAATCCAGCAATGTCTTCCAGCCTGCTGCCCTTTTCAGGAAGCTGCAGCTGATGAATATTTAATCAGACGAGCAGTGAACCTCCTGCTGTGTCACCTTCCTCTACTTTCATCACATGATTATTCTGATCTTTATTCCAGATGATAATAATAGATCAAGCTGTGCCATACTGTCAGCCTAAACACACGAGCTTTTTCTTGTGAGGGTATGTTAGTCTGGTTCCAGGTGATTCAAATAGTTATGATATTATTATGTTTGTGGTTTCATGTCCTTGCAGATTTGCATTGTTGTTGTTTTCTCTCCCGTTGACAGATTCTGGGTTGGTGTCTTTGTAAATAAGACGTGTCGCCAGCCCTGAGTAAACAAAACCAGGAAAAGACGACGGAATTACATGGTCATGAATAAATGGCAGCATCCGTCATCCTCCCTCTGCCTGTTCCTGTTTCCTCCTGTAGAAACAAACTTCAGTCAAGCCAGTTGTCATGCTGTTCATTATTTCTGACATATTTCTGACAGCTTATTACGACCCGTATTTACATTTTTTGTTAGGCCGCGACCTCTAGTGGCAGAAGAAGTCAGGTGACGTCGTATAAAGAGCGACAAAGTCTGGCTAAAAAGGTGGTGGGGTGGATGCGTCAAATAAACTCAGGACTTTCACTCGGGAGGCCGAGGTTTGACCAAGTAGTGTTGGTGCCCACCAAACCTGACCAAGTAGTGTTGGTGCCTAACCCTGACCAAGTAGTGTTGGTGCCTAACCCTGACCAAGTAGTGTTGGTGCCTAATCCTGACCAAGTAGTGTTGGTGCCTAATCCTGACCAAGTGGTGGGTGTTGGTGCCTAATCCTGACCAAGTAGTGTTGGTGCCTAACCCTGACCAAGTGGTGGGTGTTGGTGCCTAATCCTGACCAAGTAGTGGGTGTTGGTGCCTAATCCTGACCAAGTAGTGGGTGTTGGTGCCTAATCCTGACCAAGTAGTGGGTGTTGGTGCCTAATCCTGACCAAGTAGTGTTGGTGTCCAAACCCTGACCAAGTAGTGTTGGTGTCCAAACCCTGACCAAGTAGTGTTGGTGTCTAACCCTGACCAAGTAGTGTTGGTGTCCACACCCTGACCAAGTAGTGTTGGTGTCCACACCCTGACCAAGTAGTGTTGGTGCCACACCCTGACCAAGTAGTGTTGGTGCCACACCCTGACCAAGTAGTGTTGGTGCCAAACCCTGACCAAGTAGTGTTGGTGCCCAAACCTGACCAAGTGGTGGGTGTTGGTGCCCAAACCTGACCAAGTAGTGGGTGTTGGTGCCTAATCCTGACCAAGTAGTGTTGGTGCCTAATCCTGACCAAGTAGTGGGTGTTGGTGCCTAAACCTGACCAAGTAGTGTTGGTGCCTAAACCTGACCAAGTAGTGTTGGTGCCCAATCCTGACCAAGTAGTGTTGGTGCCTAATCCTGACCAAGTAGTGTTGGTGCCTAATCCTGACCAAGTAGTGTTGGTGCCTAATCCTGACCAAGTGGTGGGTGTTGGTGTCCAAACCTGACCAAGTGGTGGGTGTTGGTGTCCAAACCTGACCAAGTAGTGTTGGTGTCTAAACCTGACCAAGTGGTGGGTGTTGGTGTCTAAACCTGACCAAGTGGTGGGTGTTGGTGCCCAAACCCGACCAAGTAGTGTTGGTGTCTAAACCTGACCAAGTAGTGTTGGTGTCTAAACCTGACCAAGTAGTGTTGGTGCCTAAACCTGACCAAGTAGTGTTGGTGCCTAAACCTGACCAAGTAGTGTTGGTGCCCAAACCTGACCAAGTAGTGTTTGTGCCTAATCCTGACCAAGTGGTGGGTGTTGGTGCCCAAACCTGACCAAGTAGTGTTGGTGCCCAAACCTGACCAAGTAGTGTTGGTGCCCAAACCTGACCAAGTAGTGTTGGTGCCCAAACCTGACCAAGTAGTGTTGGTGCCCAAACCTGACCAAGTAGTGTTGGTGTCTAAACCTGACCAAGTAGTGTTGGTGTCTAAACCTGACCAAGTAGTGTTGGTGCCCAAACCTGACCAAGTAGTGTTGGTGCCCAAACCTGACCAAGTAGTGTTGGTGCCCAAACCTGACCAAGTAGTGTTGGTGCCTAAACCTGACCAAGTGGTGGGTGTTTGTGCCTAATCCTGACCAAGTGGTGGGTGTTGGTGCCTAATCCTGACCAAGTAGTGTTGGTGCCTAATCCTGACCAAAGTACCACAGTTTCATGTTTACCACATGATAAACGTCATGTGACTTAAGGTCCGCCTGGCGCTGGACTGGTTCTTGCCAACGCTTGTCCATGTCGTTTTAGGACACTTGACGATCCAACAGTTTTGTTGTTTAGTTGTGAGGACGTGTTGGAGAGGTGTCTGTCCGCAGAGAATGATTAGATGATGATTAGCAGATAGATAAATTAATCATCAACTATTTAGATCATTCAAGAGATTTATCTCAATCAAAAATTGTTTTTCACTTGCTTTACTACAGTAAATTGGTTATTTGGGGTTTTGAGACGTCACCTCAAACTTTAGGAAACTGTAACAGCCTTTTTTCACGTAGCAATTTTTCAGAAGTGAGACTGATTTCCTCTCATGGTCTTGTCTCTCTCTCTCCTCATGTTTATGTATGCTCTCTCTGCCATGTTCAAACAGCATCACTAACACCGCCGCCTGCCTCCCTAGAGTACCGCTGTCTCCCTGAGCTCCTCGTCGCCTTGCCGTTTTCATACCTCATTTACCGTTCTCGATTACCCCACCACCACCACCACCACTGCTATAGGCTGCTGCTTTATCTATAGCCGCTGTGTTGTTTCAAGATGAAAGAGAGGGGGGGAGGCAGGAGGAAGAATCTCGGCGTCTGAGAAAATGTGAGGAGAAAGCTGCAGCCATTACTCTGTATTTATATCACAGCTTCCTCTGGATCATCTACAAACAGTAAATGAATACGCAGGAAGCAGGTCGTTGTCGGGAGAAGACACTGGAGACGGGCAGAATATATCAGTTTGCATACAGAGATTTATTTTGAAAATATTAAGCTCATTTTAAGAGCTGCAATGATAAATCCATTATTTGTAAATGTGTTTTTCTGTTTTCTTTGCTCCTCCACTGTCTTTGTGTTGTGGACTAAACAAGACATTTGAGGACGTCTTTGGTTCTACGGTTCTTTGAAATTGAGTAACAGTTCCAACCTGGAACCGGTCCTTGATACCCAACCCTTCTGATATATCATTTATAGAAAAACTAATATTTGTGTTCTCACAAAGAAAATGAAAATTAGAAACCGGCTGTAAAGATCTGATCTCACAGATGGTTTAAGGGCCTTTTGTCAAACACAGGAGCAGCTGAACATCATCCTCATTAATGACGTGGCCTCCGTCGGCCTCCAAGTCACTGAAACTTCTTTTTAGAGAGTAAGACATGAAGTTTTACAGACAAGTAGTCCTGTTGTCGCATATTGTTGTCGTGTCCCTGTGGGTGATGAGGTCTGCCTGTCCAGACCTTCATGTTCCCCTCACATTTTGTGAGACTGTGGTGGGTGGACATCAACCCTCTAGGGGGGTCCGGGTCCATGCAGCCCCGGAAGAAAGATTTGTACAATTTAAAATTAAGTGCATTGATTTGGTGCACTTTAAAAGCAAAATAAAGAGGCTAGATCTATGAAGAACTCATAGACTCTTGTTAACAATTTTGTGTTAATGTTTTTCCAGCAACCCTAAATCAAAGAATAATTTGTAAGTAATTTCCCAAACATTTTATTTTACTTTTAACGGACACATGTAACATGTTTCATACTTCCTGTGAATAGAATCCAGTTAATCTTATTTCCATACTGTATAAGTTGTGTTACCGCCTTTTTTGAAAACTGGACTTTGTGCATCCTCACACTACATTCACCAAGTCCGGTGCGATTTGATAGATCATATTGCAAGTTGTGCTCGTAGTGAAGATTTAAAAGCCTCTCTTCAGGTCAGACTCTCACACTGTAACACTTGGTGAGAGAAAATGACGTCAGCTCGCTCTGCTTTATGGTAAACTGCATTTACCATAAAGGCTCTAATACATGTGCACTCCAAATTTAGCGGCTAGCAAGATCACATTCTCACAAACGAGAAACAGTGGAAACACTAAACGCTGTTCAAACCCTTAACGTTACTGTAGTTGCCTCAAAAGAAAAGTGGTTGTCTCAAGTCGGATGCCGAAGTGTGTGAGCGCACGAGTTTACAGCAGCGGGGAGCAGCGGCGGAAATACAGCGTTCGAAGTCTTGAATGTTAAAATTTCGGTTAATTTTGAAGCTATGGCGGAACAAATGATGCTGATGCTGCGTTACAGGCAACTCTGAACTTCCTGCACCTCCAACTAGAAAAAGGACCAGAAAAACGCCACTTGATGGCGGAGTTCCTACTTGTGAACTCCGATTTAAAATATTTCCTCCGACTTCACAAGTAGCAGCTGAATGACGTCACACAACAATGGCAGACATATACACATCGTAAAGGATAAACCATAAACTAAAAGACGACATAAAGTATATTTGCATGTATTTAAATTTAAATAATACTATCATGTAGTAAAACCTGTTCTGCATGTAAATTGATGTAGAAATATGCTGCCAGTGTTATACAGGCACATCAGGGGCACTGCTGAGGGTGCAGATGTGTGCATCAGCATCGGTCAGCCATGGTTTTAGTTCATTTTTGGAACGCCCAGCTGTACTCTGAGTTTACTGCTAATAAGCTAATGTTAGCATGCTAACACGCTAACTTAAGATGGTGAATATTGTAGCAGCACAACATCATGACGTTAGCATTGTTAAGGCCCATTTATAATCCTGCGTAGGGTCTACGTGCGTACCTATGCATTTATACTTGTGCGTCGGTGTCTCCGTCATTCTGCAATTACACCTGCAAACGCTAGTCAGCAGCAGCGCTGCAGCGTCCACTGTGGTGACTTCTGCCGGCTGAGCAGGCTAACTTCCGGTTTAGCGCTTCGCTAACGTGAATGGGGGTAAAATTGTAAACATGCGGTTGGTGAAGCCTTTTAAAATGTTACCGACCGAATGGATCATTCTGATAGCGATACGAGTCATTTCGCTCGGGTTGCGAAGGTCAAACATATCGATCACTGTGTTACAGCCACCGTTTTGGCCACTAGTAAATGTTACTACAAAGCGTGGGGTACTTCCGGTTGGCTCGGAGGCATTGCGAGGCTACCCAGCTGACCAATCACAGAGCTTACGGTCCGCATCGACTCGACGTGTAGTTACATTTTGGAGGAGGTGCACATCAGGCGACGGCGTAGCCCCGTAACCTACGCCGTCGATCAGAAGTATACTGTGAGCATGTTAACGTGATGACGTCCAGCTCAAAGCCGATTACAGTCCCACAGAGCTTTTTATTTCTGTATGTATTAATGATTTTACTGATCCCAAATAAAGGCTTGTTGGAGGTGCTGGAGTCTCTTCTGCTGCGTTATGGTGCACATTTACGGATGTTTGACGGTTGATAACACACATACTCTGTTAATTGCTTGTGTCTTTATAATAAACTGTGGTTTGGTTGATGTAAAATGTGCCAGTCTTTGGTTTATCCAATGAACACGTCCTCTCAGCTCAGCCCGTCTCTCTCTCTCTCTGTCCTCCCTGCAGTACTCGTCGGCCGGCTGCCTGCTGACTCTTCACCACAGCGAGAAGCCCGATCACGAGGAGGTGTGCGAGTTCAGGCCATACACCTGTCCGTGTCCCGGAGCTACCTGCAAGTGGCACGGCTCGCTGGAGGCCGTCATGCCGCACCTGATGCACGCGCACAAGTCCATCACCACGCTGCAGGTCAGCTGCAGAGCTTTACCTTTACATCCCCGCGCTGCAGAGCTTTACCTTTACATCCCCACGCTGCAGAGCTTTACCTTTACATCCCCGCGCTGCAGGTCAGCTGCAGAGCTTTACCTTTACATCCCCGCGCTGCAGGTCAGCTGCAGAGCTTTACCTTTACATGCCCACGCTGCAGGTCAGCGGCAGAGCTTTACCTTTACATGCCCACGCTGCAGGTCAGCGGCAGAGCTTTACCTTTACATGCCCACGCTGCAGGTCAGCTGCAGAGCTTTACCTTTACATGCCCGCGCTGCAGGTCAGCGGCAGAGCTTTACCTTTACATCCCCACGCTGCAGGTCAGCGGCAGAGCTTTACCTTTACATGCCCACGCTGCAGGTCAGCGGCAGAGCTTTACCTTTACATGCCCACGCTGCAGGTCAGCTGCAGAGCTTTACCTTTACATGCCCACGCTGCAGGTCAGCTGCAGAGCTTTACCTTTACATCCCCACGCTGCAGGTCAGCTGCAGAGCTTTACCTTTACATCCCCACGCTGCAGAGCTTTACCTTTACATGCCCACGCTGCAGGTCAGCTGCAGAGCTTTACCTTTACATGCCCACGCTGCAGGTCAGCGGCAGAGCTTTACCTTTACATGCCCACGCTGCAGGTCAGCTGCAGAGCTTTACCTTTACATCCCCACGCTGCAGAGCTTTACCTTTACATCCCCACGCTGCAGAGCTTTACCTTTACATGCCCACGCTGCAGGTCAGCGGCAGAGCTTTACCTTTACATGCCCACGCTGCAGGTCAGCTGCAGAGCTTTACCTTTACATGCCCACGCTGCAGGTCAGCTGCAGAGCTTTACCTTTACATCCCCACGCTGCAGGTCAGCGGCAGAGCTTTACCTTTACATGCCCACGCTGCAGGTCAGCGGCAGAGCTTTACCTTTACATCCCCACGCTGCAGAGCTTTACCTTTACATGCCCACGCTGCAGGTCAGCTGCAGAGCTTTACCTTTACATGCCCACGCTGCAGGTCAGCGGCAGAGCTTTACCTTTACATGCCCACGCTGCAGGTCAGCGGCAGAGCTTTACCTTTACATGCCCACGCTGCAGAGCTTTACCTTTACATCCCCACGCTGCAGAGCTTTACCTTTACATGCCCACGCTGCAGGTCAGCGGCAGAGCTTTACCTTTACATGCCCACGCTGCAGGTCAGCTGCAGAGCTTTACCTTTACATGCCCACGCTGCAGGTCAGCTGCAGAGCTTTACCTTTACATGCCCACGCTGCAGGTCAGCGGCAGAGCTTTACCTTTACATGCCCACGCTGCAGGTCAGCTGCAGAGCTTTACCTTTACATGCCCACGCTGCAGGTCAGCGGCAGAGCTTTACCTTTACATCCCCACGCTGCAGAGCTTTACCTTTACATGCCCACGCTGCAGGTCAGCGGCAGAGCTTTACCTTTACATGCCCACGCTGCAGGTCAGCTGCAGAGCTTTACCTTTACATCCCCACGCTGCAGAGCTTTACCTTTACATCCCCACGCTGCAGAGCTTTACCTTTACATCCCCACGCTGCAGGTCAGCGGCAGAGCTTTACCTTTACATGCCCACGCTGCAGGTCAGCGGCAGAGCTTTACCTTTACATCCCCGCGCTGCAGGTCAGCGGCAGAGCTTTACCTTTACATGCCCACGCTGCAGGTCAGCTGCAGAGCTTTACCTTTACATGCCCACGCTGCAGGTCAGCTGCAGAGCTTTACCTTTACATCCCCACGCTGCAGGTCAGCGGCAGAGCTTTACCTTTACATGCCCACGCTGCAGGTCAGCGGCAGAGCTTTACCTTTACATCCCCACGCTGCAGAGCTTTACCTTTACATCCCCACGCTGCAGGTCAGCGGCAGAGCTTTACCTTTACATGCCCACGCTGCAGGTCAGCGGCAGAGCTTTACCTTTACATGCCCACGCTGCAGGTCAGCTGCAGAGCTTTACCTTTACATGCCCACGCTGCAGGTCAGCCGCAGAGCTTTACCTTTACATGCCCACGCTGCAGGTCAGCCGCAGAGCTTTACCTTTACATGCCCACGCTGCAGGTCAGCGGCAGAGCTTTACCTTTACATGCCCACGCTGCAGGTCAGCTGCAGAGCTTTACCTTTACATCCCCACGCTGCAGAGCTTTACCTTTACATGCCCACGCTGCAGAGCTTTACCTTTACATGCCCACGCTGCAGGTCAGCTGCAGAGCTTTACCTTTACATCCCCACGCTGCAGAGCTTTACCTTTACATGCCCACGCTGCAGGTCAGCGGCAGAGCTTTACCTTTACATCCCCGCGCTGCAGGTCAGCTGCAGAGCTTTACCTTTACATGCCCACGCTGCAGGTCAGCTGCAGAGCTTTACCTTTACATCCCCACGCTGCAGAGCTTTACCTTTACATGCCCACGCTGCAGGTCAGCGGCAGAGCTTTACCTTTACATCCCCACGCTGCAGGTCAGCTGCAGAGCTTTACCTTTACATCCCCACGCTGCAGGTCAGCGGCAGAGCTTTACCTTTACATGCCCACGCTGCAGGTCAGCGGCAGAGCTTTACCTTTACATGCCCACGCTGCAGGTCAGCGGCAGAGCTTTACCTTTACATGCCCACGCTGCAGGTCAGCGGCAGAGCTTTACCTTTACATGCCCACGCCGCAGAGCTTTACCTTTACATGCCCACGCTGCAGGTCAGCTGCAGAGCTTTACCTTTACATCCCCGCGCTGCAGGTCAGCTGCAGAGCTTTACCTTTACATGCCCACGCTGCAGGTCAGCTGCAGAGCTTTACCTTTACATCCCCACGCTGCAGGTCAGCTGCAGAGCTTTACCTTTACATCCCCACGCTGCAGAGCTTTACCTTTACATGCCCACGCTGCAGGTCAGCGGCAGAGCTTTACCTTTACATCCCCGCGCTGCAGGTCAGCGGCAGAGCTTTACCTTTACATGCCCACGCTGCAGGTCAGCGGCAGAGCTTTACCTTTACATGCCCACGCTGCAGGTCAGCGGCAGAGCTTTACCTTTACATGCCCACGCTGCAGGTCAGCTGCAGAGCTTTACCTTTACATGCCCATGCTGCAGGTCAGCGGCAGAGCTTTACCTTTACATCCCCACGCTGCAGAGCTTTACCTTTACATCCCCACGCTGCAGAGCTTTACCTTTACATCCCCACGCTGCAGGTCAGCTGCAGAGCTTTACCTTTACATCCCCACGCTGCAGGTCAGCTGCAGAGCTTTACCTTTACATGCCCACGCTGCAGGTCAGCGGCAGAGCTTTACCTTTACATCCCCACGCTGCAGAGCTTTACCTTTACATGCCCACGCTGCAGGTCAGCGGCAGAGCTTTACCTTTACATCCCCGCGCTGCAGGTCAGCTGCAGAGCTTTACCTTTACATGCCCACGCTGCAGGTCAGCGGCAGAGCTTTACCTTTACATCCCCGCGCTGCAGGTCAGCGGCAGAGCTTTACCTTTACATCCCCGCGCTGCAGGTCAGCTGCAGAGCTTTACCTTTACATGCCCACGCTGCAGGTCAGCTGCAGAGCTTTACCTTTACATCCCCACGCTGCAGAGCTTTACCTTTACATGCCCACGCTGCAGGTCAGCTGCAGAGCTTTACCTTTACATCCCCACGCTGCAGGTCAGCGGCAGAGCTTTACCTTTACATGCCCACGCTGCAGGTCAGCGGCAGAGCTTTACCTTTACATCCCCACGCTGCAGGTCAGCGGCAGAGCTTTACCTTTACATGCCCACGCTGCAGGTCAGCGGCAGAGCTTTACCTTTACATGCCCACGCTGCAGGTCAGCGGCTGCAGGTCATGGTGAACGTGGAGAACACATTAATCACCGGGAAGCCAAATGTTGTAACACAGAAAAGGAGAGTTGAGCGTTTGTTTTTGAGAGGTAGTAATGTCTGTCTCTCCGCAGGGAGAGGACATCGTCTTCCTGGCGACGGACATCAACTTGCCGGGCGCCGTTGACTGGGTGATGATGCAGTCGTGTTTCAGCCACCACTTCATGCTGGTCCTGGAGAAGCAGGAGAAGTACGAAGGCCACCAGCAGTTCTTCGCCGTCGTGCTGCTCATCGGCACCCGCAAGCAGGCCGAGAACTTCGCCTACCGCCTGGAGCTCAACGGCAACCGGCGCCGGCTCACCTGGGAGGCCACGCCGCGCTCCATCCACGACGGGGTGGCGGCCGCCATCATGAACAGCGATTGCCTGGTGTTTGACACCTCCATCGCGCATCTGTTCGCCGACAACGGCAACCTGGGGATCAACGTCACCATCTCCATGTGCTGAGCGGGGGAGCGGCGTTAACGGCAGTCACACAGAGGACGCCACAACGGAGACACAACACAGGATCAGTGTGGGAGGCGTTGAGCTCACCTTCTGACTCGTGTTGAGCGTTTACAGGGACGTCCTGTGGTGGTGCAACATTTGAAGCTGCTGAGAGACAACTTCTCAAATAATCGCCACGGAAAGGCGAGCGCCGCCCTGAGTAATGTCTGTTTGGGGCACCGGAGGAAAAGAGGAAGAGGAGAGCATCAGGCAGATCGGGCCTGCTGCTTCAGCCGCCGCCTGTCCACGGCGGGACATCTGGACGCCGGGTTTTATTCTTTTCCGCAACACGAGCCTCCGTCGGCCTCATCAGACTCCCTGTCGGCCCGACTTGTTCTCAATATTCTGATCTTTGCAGGGAAACGTTGGTGTTCGTCAGCTGACCTGTAACTGGGTTAGAGGAGGCAGCAGACACACTTTCAATCCTGTAAAATGTTCTTCTCTGTGTGAATCCATTCTTAAAGAAACTAATCTGAGGGGCTGCTGGCAGTTACAGTGAAGCAGAATAATGTGAACTCGCATCCTCATCTACTTAGTGCTTTAATGAGCCGGGCTGAGCGGGAGGTTGCTGGTTCAAATCCCCGCCGCGGTCTGTAGGACGGGGACTGACCGCGCTCTTCGGCAGACTCGTCTCACATTTTTGGAGGTCGGCGTTCGACCTTCGCTGAGCTGTTAATCCTTGATTCTTCTTTAATCTCAGATAAAAGCAGCGAAATGGAGGAGTAATCCGCCTGTTCAGCCGCCAGCGCCTTACTTTTCTACCGCCAACCTCTTCTTCCTGTTCAGGCTCATCCTGCCCGGGGAGCTCCAGCTGGGACGCTTCACCACAGAGACACAAAGGACGGACATTTTAAAAGAAGAAGGACATTCCTCGTCTCTAAACCTTTGTAGCGCCTGACCAGGAAGAAACCGACTTCACTGCATACCTCTGACCACAGACACGTCTGTAAGTGAACCGCTAACCCCTCAGACCTCGGCGGTGTTTCCTCCTCCGTCACCCCCGATGGAGACGACGTGAAGTTTAACGACAGTAAATCGGATAAATTTCAAAGACTCATCTGCCTCCGCAGCCTGCACTGTAACAGAAGCTAGTTGTGCGTTCACACTGCAGGAAGCTCTCGCCAAATGTTCGTCGGCCTCTTGCTTGGTCTCTCTCTTCTTAGCTTCCTCTTCAGTCTCTTCACCTCTGCTGTTAGCTAACGTTACGTCCGGTTGTGTTGCCCGCTCGCTCGCTCGCTCGGCGGCGGCCGCAGCAGCATGATGTTGCTTGAAACTTGTAGTGGCGAGTTAGCCAACAAAGCTAATCAGCAACAGACGCAGGAGCACTTAATGTTACAGATGTCAGAATCCTTCGAAGTAGCTCACAATGCACACAGTATAAGCTTTGCTGCAAGATAATATTACTACATAATGTTGCTTTAAAGAGTAACTTTGGTTTTTAACCTGAGCGAGCGAGCGCGCTACAGTGAAACAGGGCTGCAACGTAATCCTTCTGTCAAAAAGTTTATTTTTGCTGCTTTTATTGTTATTACAAGTTTTTAACATTATGGGAAGGATCCCTACAGAGAGAGACAATTATATAAAGATCCTTTTTGTTTAAACAAACAGTTTCTATATCGCTTTTGTCAAAGCCGCCAGACTCCATTAAAACAAAAAGTAATTTTATCTCACTGCCTCGATTAGTGTTTGTGTTATTGTGTTACTTTGGTGTTTGTAACCCTTTAAAACACCAAAATAACAACTAACCGACTGAGGCAGAGGTCGACCAGCAGCCCCTGTGTTCTGAGGTAGAACTTCTGTTTTTGTGAAGGGAATCTGGCCAGAGTTTGACAGCAAGACAGAAAGGATCCCTACAGAGAGAGAGACCTTTTCTTAAAGAGCAAGTTCCTTTTTGTTGAACCAGAAACAGTCACTATGTTTGACCTTATTATTCACTTAGATGCAGAAACACAGGAAAGGGTCCAGATTGAAACAAAGGTTCCCTTTAGATCAGATTGGCTGCAGTGTGAACGCACACCGCTATTTTCACTGAATAATAAACAGAGGAAACGCAGCTCTATGATAATCACACTTCCACTTTACAACCCGCCGACTTTCTACGAAATGTTTTAGAATATATGTAAATGAAGAAATAATGATGTATATTTTCTAGAAACAAAGACATGATTTTGTTTGATCGTTTCGCTGTTTTCGGGTGTTTCTGGCATTTGTTGTTAATTCTGTTGCTGCATTGTCTCACCTCAACATCTGTACTGATACACCAGAAGGACGGAGAAGGAAACCAGGGACTCGCATCATAAACTACTGCTCACATTTTCCAAAACGTGAAGAGAGGTGAAGCTGGAGGTGCGTTCAAGTCCTGCACGGACATGAAACACTCCTGGTTGACCATCAAAAGCGCCTACATTAGTGCAAAAGAAGAACTCGTTGTTTGATTTAAACTCAAAAGGTAAAACAAGCCTGTGGGCATTAAAAAAAACTGAAGCTAGGACTCCCATGGTGCATTTCACTAACAAACGTCCAATCACGGAGCTTCACATTCGTTTAAATCCGCCTCTGACGGTGAGCTGAAGCTAAAAACAACACCTGTCATTTATTTAGTAACTAATACCTTCACAGCAAGAGCAGCTGAGGCTCATGGGTATTGTAGTATTTAAAGTAATCCACAAAACAACTTGACACAAATTATTAAATCTGATGATCAGAACAATATTATATAATTAATTATGTTATACGTGGTTAACACTTTTTTACAAGTCTGTTATTTCTGGATAATTTCCACTCATTTAGTTTGTCTACGGGAAAGAAAACAAGTTAACATGTACATTTCCAGGAATTAATGAATATTTACTTGAGTTTTGACTTTTAAGGAAATTTGTATTTAGCACCAAATCCCAGCGTTCTTTACAGCAAACGTATTTTTAATTATTATTCAGAAAATAAAGACCTCTAAAATACCAGTGTTACAAAAACATTGTTTAGCTTTAAGAAGATTTTCCTCATTAATATGTGAAGGTAGGGCAGAGCGATGATTACCAGGATAAATGTTAAATCATTATTTCTTTCAGATTAAAAGCATGATTTTTGCTCCCGAGTGAAAGTTGAAGAAACCAGATGGTTAATTCAGAACAAACACTTGATGCCAAACGGTGGATCACTTCACAATCTGAGGCAGAACATTCAGAACTATTCTCGTAAAATCTTTTTTTCGTCAACAAAATAAACATCTTAATAGAAAAAATAAGTGCTGATTCATTTGTGATTCAAATAAATTAAACATTCTTTAAAACATGTTTTATTGTTAAGAATAAATATATGGTGAAAGTTAGTTTTATTGGCCAGCTCTATGTGAAGGTGATCAGCTCGGTTAGCATCTGACGAGCGACTGGTGTCGTCACAGTTTTCATCGTTGATCTGTGTTCTGCTCAGTTCTGTGATGATTATATAATAAATTGGTGCAGTTTTCTATATTTGTGTTTTCTTGTTTTCTGTGTTCAAGGTTTTCCAAAGCTTCAGGATGGTTTATATCAACTACAAAGATTATTATCATTCAGTTAATCTATAAGATGATTCACTTTTAAGGATCTTTTATTGTTTTTTATTGTTTAAATTTGTCTTTGGCTTCACGGGCTGGTTAAAAACCACGTCATTAAAAAAAAAATCACAATACAAACTATAAATTAACTTCACGCTGTGAAAATAACGTAAATCCACGTAAATCAAATCATTTTTGTCCCAAAGGGCTTACTTCCTGTTGCCAGTAGATGGCGCTATGGCGTGGAGTGAAGTTTTGACTGTAGATGTATTTGGGGCGGAACTCTGATCAAACTTATAAAGTTTGGTGCGGATATGAGAATGTACACTGAAGTTATCACAACTTCCTGTTTCATGATGAATCATCGATTTTCTTCGCCACACCACGGACACACACGTCGACGAAAACTCACAGATAGCACAACTTTTTATCTTCAATGCCTTTAGATAGTGCAACAAAAATTTGAAGTCGATGGGATTAATTCTGTAGAAGGAGTTAGTTAAAGTACAGAACCTGGGAAGCACAAAAAATGAACATTACATCCAAAATTTCTGACTTCCTGTTGGGTTTAGGGCTTCGCTCCCAGAGGCTTGTTTTTTCTTTTTTGTAGGTCTGGACCTGATAAATCAGCCTCAAAAATGTCGCTCAAACTGGGGAATTGTGGCTTTTTAGGGGGCGCTAGCGAGCCATTTTGCAAAAAACATCTTTTAATGTATAATTTAAATGTTATTTTTCATGCTCAGTCCCTAAAAACAAAACCCAGAGACGAAGTGCAGACAGCAACAGCTGTGATTCCAGTGTAGGGACATGTTAACGAACTGAGCAAAGTTATAGTTTTTATAAAGTATTGGTATAGTATCTGGTGTGAAAGACTTTTTGTAAATGCTCTTAAGTTGCTGCAGCTGCTCTTTAGCACTTTCCAGAGGACAATTTAATGAAATGGAGACGAAAAACAAGTTGACATTTTGAAAAATGAAGCTTTTTTTGCAGCTGTGAAGAATTTCTGGCAAAACTTATGTACCTTTTATTTCTGTAAACATTGATTAAAGTTTTTGTTTAGCTTTGGAAGGATATTTTGTTTGGTCTCCCAGAAGATAACACAGAGAGAAACACTTGATTAATCTTCTAACCATGAAGGCTAAATTTCCTAAATATAAATTTGTTTTAACACCATTTTTATAGGTTTATTGATGTTAGCATTTAGCTTAAAGCCTCAGAGCTGCTAGCACGTCTGTAGGCGTTTAACGCTTATGTAAAATGCTCACGTCTCTCAAGAAAGTTTCTTAATTGACTTTTACACCATTTGGAAACTAATTGAAACCAAAGGCTGCCTGAAAGAGGGAAACATAACATACATTTAAAAATGTTTCTATATCTGTTTGTTGATTTCTGTATAAAATACAGTGACGCTCCACAGCTGAAGACATTTATTTTTGTTTTATTACAAACGCCAAACAGTACAAATATTAAACGTTTGGGAGGATGCAGAGAACTGGCCTCGTGTCAGGGATCTAGATTTATATTCATTTCTATGTTTAACTTTAACAGTCTGGAAAATGACGATGTAATGATTTCAGTTCACGTACGTCAGGTGGTCTCAGTCTTTGAAGGGACAGCCTGTCTGTCTGTCTCTTCTATGGAGCGCCATGGGACCCTACTAAAAATATGTACCGTAGTCAAAGGCAAGAGACGACAAATATTTAGATCCCGTTTGAAAAGTCCCGTATGTGACGTAACTTTTTCTTTCAACTGAAGCTAACGGTACTGAAGCTAACGGTACTGAAGCTAACGGTACTGAAGCTAACGTGTGAGGATGATGTGATAAAAGGGCCGAGAGTCGCTGGATTGAACACATCAAGTGAGATATATTTCTGTGTGGAACATAGCCAAGTTACCGAGCTAGTAGAAAGCAAGCTATGAACGTTAGCTTAGCATCACTGCGCTAACATGTTGGTGACGTATATTGTGCGAGATGAGAGATGTAGGTCACTGAACGGTTTTCTCACACAACGACATGTAACTTTACTGTTTTACGACAAACTGCGACTTTCTTGACGGACAAAATGATCTTTTAAACAGACAAACATCACGTGTTCGGACAGGATTAAAAGATAAGTCGTCTCTCGCCGTTGACTACCGTATATATTTTTTCCAAAATAAGGGCCCATGGGCCGGAAGGGGAAGCGAGTGACTCTCTATACTGTCTGTCTCTTCTTCCATTGTTGTCTCTGTCTGTGTCTCTTCTGTCTCTCTTCTTCTATCGTCTGTCCGTCTCTCTCCTTCTATCGTCTGTCCGTCTCTCTTCTTCTATCGTCTGTCCGTCTCTCTTCTTCTATCGTCTGTCTCTTCTATCGCCGTCTCTGTCCGTCTCTCTTCTTCTATCGCCGTCTCTGTCCGTCTCTCTTCTTCTATCGCCGTCTCTGTCCGTCTCTCTCCTTCTATCGCCCTCTCTGTCCGTCTCTCTCCTTCTATCGCCCTCTCTGTCCGTCTCTCTCCTTCTATCGCCCTCTCTGTCCGTCTCTCTCCTTCTATCGCCCTCTCTGTCCGTCTCTCTCCTTCTATCGCCCTCTCTGTCCGTCTCTCTTCTTCTATCGCCGTCTCTGTCCGTCTCTCTCCTTCTATCGCCGTCTCTGTCCGTCTCTCTCCTTCTATCGCCGTCTCTGTCCGTCTCTCTCCTTCTATCGCCGTCTCTGTCCGTCTCTCTCCTTCTATCGCCCTCTCTGTCCGTCTCTCTCCTTCTATCGCCCTCTCTGTCCGTCTCTCTCCTTCTATCGCCGTCTCTGTCCGTCTCTCTTCTTCTATCGCCGTCTCTGTCTGTCTCTCTCCACCTGTCCTCCTCTCTGTCGCCCTCCCTCTCCCGAGTCGTCCTCCTGTCTTCACCTCTCTCCCTGTCTGTCTCTCTCCTCCTGTCCTCCTCCCCCCGCGGTCTCTCGTTCTCCCTCGCTCTCTGTCCGTTCTGTTGTCCTCCCGGTGGCGCCCTCCTCTGGTTGTACTTGTCGTAGGCGGCATCTTCCTTCTCCTCTTTGACTCTGACGGTGGGAGGAGGAAGAGGAGGTGAGGAAGAGGAGGAGTGCGGCGCCCGGTCCCCCTTCTCCTTGTCTGCCTTCTTCTTCTTCTCTTTCTTCTTTTTCTTCTTCTCTTTTTTGTCTGACAAAGAGAAAGCAGCGAGAGAAGAAGTGAAAAAAACATTCTTGTTTCTGGCACAGAGACGAACAGGAAGTGACCTCACCTTTTTTGGGCTTCTTCACGGGGATGGTGTACTGCTCGTCTTCCTCAGCGGAGGAGGACGACTCGTGGACTTTGGGAGCACAGCCCTCGTCCCTCAGGCGTTTGGTCACGTCGTCGATGTCCTCTGTGTCTTTGGGAGGCCGGTAGTCTTTGACGTGATCCACGCGAATGGTCCGACCTTTAATCTGAAACGCCACACAGACAGACGTCACGCTGCAGTTTGAACCAAAAACAGTAAAAACTACAGGGGCTTGTGTGTTTGGTTATTTAGCCACTTAAATGTGTCGATATAACCGCCAGAAACGTCTGTAAAAGCGCAGTGCGGTGTTTCGCACAGAATCCCTGTGGCGCCGCGGGGAGGAGGAGGGTGCAGTCGATAGCAGCTATGTACAGCGTGTCAACCTCGACAACCCAGCTGTATTCTAAAGTGAACGTCTCCGACATTGACGGCGTGTTGACTAACTTCTCAGAGTAAAGTCCAGCGATTTAGTTCTTCTGTAAACGCACGGCTCCATGACAGCGTGTTGAGTGAGAGTCTATGCGCCGCGTGCAGCTCCGCAATGAATTATGATTTTACTCAGATTAAATAGTATGTTGTGTGTGGCGTTGATATTGTGGCAATGAGAAACCGCAGAGTGGTGCAGCTGAAAAATATCTTCTCATGCCACGAACTGAGGACGACCAGCGCAAACTCAGACTGAAATATATTAAATCATTCTACTCATTTTCAAATTATTATTTTGATTGTTTGGTATTTTAGTAATTTTTCCTTTATTTGTATTTTCTTTTTAAATTTCATATCTGATACTGAGTTTTTTTGTTTATTAATTAATTATTTTAAATTTTTTGTCTACTAGTACACACACACACTTCATTTATTTATTTTAATTTTTAATATATTTAAAAAAATTTTACACACACACACACACACACACACCCCTGTTTCATTTATTTATTTTAATTTTTAATACATTTAAATTTTTTACACACACACACACACACACACACCTGTTTCATTTATTTATTTTAATTTTTAATATTAAAATTTTTTACACACACACACACACCTGTTTCATTTATTTATTTTAATTTTTAATATTTAAATTTTTTACACACACACACGTTTCATTTATTTATTTTAATTTTTAATATTTAAATTTTTTACACACACACACACGTTTCATTTATTTATTTTAATTTTTAATACATTTAAATTTTTTACACACACACCTGTTTCATTTATTTATTTTAATTTTTAATATATTTAAATTTTTTACACACACACACACACACCTGTTTCATTTATTTATTTTAATTTAATACATTTAAATTTTTTACACACACACACACACACACACACCTGTTTCATTTATTTATTTTAATTTTTAATACATTTAAAATTTTTTACACACACACACGTTTCATTTATTTATTTTAATTTTTAATACATTTAAATTTTTTACACACACACACACACGTTTCATTTATTTATTTAAATTTTTAATATTTAAATTTTTTACACACACACACACACACACCTGTTTCATTTATTTATTTTAATTTTTAATATTTAAATTTTTTACACACACACACACACACACACACCTGTTTCATTTATTTATTTTAATTTTTAATATATTTAAATTTTTACACACACACACACACACACACCTGTTTCATTTATTTATTTTAATTTAATACATTTAAATTTTTTACACACACACACACACACACACACCTGTTTCATTTATTTATTTAAAAAAAAAATTTTTTCACACACACACACACACACACACACACACACACACACCCCTACTGTTTTATTGATTTACTTTGATTTTTAATATTTTTACTTAATTTTTATATTTATTTATTTTAACATAATTTTTATATTTTATATATTATTTTTATTAACACACACAAACACAACTTTTAATGTTTTGTTTACTTATTTACTGAAATGTATGAAATGAATTATTCTTAAGTAATTTATTTGTAGCTTTGGCAATATTGTTGTTACACATTCATGCCAATAAAGCTGATTTGAATTGAACTGACTGTTTTTATGTCATCTTAGTTCTCAAAGTGAGTTAGTTAAAATCGCCTTAATATCGGCGCATGAAAAACCAACCGCCGATCATCCCTTCAATCGTCGATGAGCGATCCAATCGGAACAAGCCCGCTACACGTGTTGACTTCTCCTCACCCTTTCACCCCCAGGCTAGCAGGAACGACAACAACCTACAACCAACTAACCCTGGGCAGAAACGTGGATAAACTTCAAATCGTTACTTTAATAAGTGGTTGCGGGGGACCACCAGCAGCGAAATCTGAGTGCAGGCGGCGGGTGAATAAACAGCTGAGAGTCAAACAGCAGCAGGTGCTCTAATGAACTTTAATCTCTTACGAACGTTTCCGTCTGGTTTGTTTCTACGTTTTTGTTTGTGAAGATGAACAGACGGGACGCAGCGTGTGAAAGTCTGCGTCACCTTGATGCCGTTGAAGTTGTCCACAGACAGGATGGTGCTCCTCTGGTCCTCGTAGCAGATGAAGCAGAAACCTTTGGACTTCCCCGTCTTCTTGTCGCGCACCAGGTTGATGTTTACGATCTCTCCATACCTGACAGGTTTTTTTTGGGGGGAGAAAGGGAAAGTGAATTCTTGTGTTCTCTGACCACGGCTGCAAGGAAAGCCAGCAACATCACAGCTGTGTGTTGAAATGAAGAGAAAGGACGCAGGAACACGTACTGAGAGAAGACGCAGATGATGTCACCTTCAGTCAGCTCGTATGGAAATCCTCCTGCAGGAAAGAAAACACCAGCGGATCAGACACAAGTCCATTCTCTCCCTATAAACCTTCTTTCCTTCCTAAAAAACTTCTTCCGGGATAAGAGAGATGTTGATCTCCAGTGAAATATTTTTCTTTCTCAAAGGGTCAAAGGAGGCCCGGACTTACCGACAAATATCCAGGCGCTGTCTTTGTACTCAGAGTGCCAGGAAACAGACTCCTTCACCCCGAGGTTGGCCTCACGCTCGTTCAGCTCGTTGATCAACTTCACCTTCGTTAGCGGACTGAAGAACAGACAGAGAAAAAGACACAATATGGAACATATTCTCTTGTATTTCTCATTAATGTGTGTCCCTATCTGCCACTTAAATTTGTGTTGAAGTGAAAAGGTGCCATTTGAAATATTCAAATTGACTGGGAGATTGTAGATTTTGGGAGGACCAGGTTCATCCTGGCCCTCAAGACTTAAGTCTAAACCTTCATGAGATGCGTCACAACACAATACTTGCACACTTGTGTGTTATGTGCTTTCTTTCAGAGCCCAAAATGCACTCTAAAACACACAGCATCACAAGTTATGCGAAGCTTTTGGCGATCCTCTGTATGGAGAAACATTCACGCCAGACTCCATTCAAACTACGTCCAATTTTGTGTTCCCCACATAACATAAAAAGTAACGTTACACTAGTGAGAGATAAGTGGAGACATTTCGTGCAAGCTTGGGATCCAATCTTTATCTCGCCAAATAAACCGACATCGAGTAACTGAAAGAAAAACAATCCTCTGTCATCAAAACTGATCGTTGTGCGCAGTAACAGGAACAAAACACAGCAAAACTTTGATTTTTCTGAAATGAGACATGATTGGTTTGTGCCGAATTCTAAAACTGCTTCAAAATGTTTATTTTAATGTCGTTATTTTGTGATAAAGCGTGTTTACAAGCTGATTAAAAGAGAATCGGTAAATTATTAAAGGAGGTTTCGGGCAACTAGAATGTAACTGCGCAGGGATGAAGCTAACTGTAGTCACCAACAAGCTTAGCTAGCAGGTTAGCGTACATCGGGGGAAAGATGCCACGACAGTCTAAATAAACGCCGAACAGTAGACACAACCCCGAATATCTATTTCATCATAAAAAGGTTTACTTACTTCATGGTTTACTCGTAGACTGTGTAAAAGAAGGTGAACTACATTAAACCAACGGTGGAAATCGTCTAGCTTGCTGGCAGGAACCACTTCCGTTTGAATTCCCGCCTCTGCTGCCGCCTGCTGTTTGGATGACATGACTACAAGCTACGTTTAAGTGAATTAATAAGTAAACGATTATTGTTCTGAATTTATATAAACTGTATATTATCGGAATAACGACGACGAAAAATATATTATTTAAGCAGATTCTGTAAAAACGTGTAACTTACCCGCCCGTTCAGCAGGTGGCGCTGTGAAGCTCTCCGCCATCAGCTGACCCGGTTTGTAAACACTAGTGTGTCAGATGAGAGCCAGGCAGCTAATAACCTAATTTATCAGTCTGTGCCAATAACCTACATTTAAGTTGTATTTCCGTGGACAGTTTAATACTGAACTTAACTGTTGTATGAGTGGAAATCATTCGGCGTTGACCTGTGTATCACAAACTCCTCTTGTGTGAATTATTAGACGTTTAACTATGCTGGGGTAGCTAGTTTTTACTCCCCAGTTAGCATTAGCCAGGCTACTTTTAACGTTTATTTACTGCAATCCATGGCTTAGTCAAGTTATTTATAACTTCAACTGCTTTACATTTAGGTCACCTCAAGTCTACTGCGGGTAAGTAAAGCAGTAACGGGAGTTAGAGCTACTCAAAGAAAGGTCATGAAGTTAGCTATTTTTCACATTTTTAACGTTTTAAACCACAAAGTGCACGTTAAAAGCGTTTTAAAGGATTCCCCAGCATCCCCTGGAACTGCCGATGAATTCGGCACGAGATAAATCAGCCAGAGTATACTCTGCATACTGTGTTTATATTTAATGACAGGATTGTTCACAGACGAGAACACTACAAAACATGTAGAATACTGAGTGGAATTTGGTGGGAGCTTTTTTCCTCAAACGAAAGAAAGAAACAGAGCATGTCGCCGGGTTTACCTAGCTCCTTAAAAACATTAGTTTTTTGAAAGTAATTCAATAAAAGTGTGATTTGTCGACTTGACAGGAACCAGACTGACCATCAAAACTGAACGACAGGGGGAGCTGCTGCATTACAGTTATTTGAGCCAATAAACCGTGTTAAAGAACACAAAACACTGTTGATGAACTTGAAATATAGGTGATTGTTTTTGTCTCTTGTCTTATTCTGTCTCTCAGCAGGATGATCTCTCAGGTCTTCATCTTGTCCTCACAGGGCGACCACCTCATCTATAAAGACTGTATCCTCACCTGAAGCCAGATCACAAACGTATATTTGTTTTTGTCCCCTGATCGTTGGGTTTACACCATACTGTACTCACTTTATACATTATTATAGTTTATATTATATGCTTTAATCCTGTGCCATACTGAACTACAGTATGTTTATTTATTGATTGAACTTCTTTACTGATTTATGGTAGAAGCATCATTAATTAAAGGCAGCTAGTGGGTTACTAGCAGCTTCTAAGTATAAATCATTTAAAAAAATAATAAAATTAAGTGACAACAGCTATACAATAATATTAATCTGTTAACAATCCTATATACAATTCAATTATTATTATATACACGTCCTCAGATGTCTTGTTTTGTCTCCAACCTGAAGATAATCAGTTGACTGTCACAAAGGGGAAAATATTCACATCTGAGAAGCTGGAATCAGGGAATTGTCTTCAAAAAATGTAGCTGTAATTTGAATTCTGAGAAATTGTCCCCAGATTTGTACGTGGTGAACATTTGTTCTTGGTTTGTCTTGTTTTACTTTCTGTTTGTTTGTTTTCTTGTCGTAAAAGTTCTTAACCTGACCATCAGTCCGTGGAGAAGCAGGAAGCGACGTCGTCAGTATTTTCTACGAGAAGGTCACGGCACTGACCGGGGACCAGCCTCCGGTTGTCATGGTAACACTGTGTGTGTGTGTGTGTGTGTTTTAAGACGTCATGAGGCCTTTTTTAAAGGGGAGCAGACCTTCTGCTACGTTTCCGCCTCCCGTCCAGACTAAAACGGAGAACTTTGAAAACGCTGCCGAGCCCCGGTTTGAAACTCAGGGGTAGCGTGTTAGTGCGCAAAGGTGAAAACAATGACGTAGACACTCATATTTGGCTTCCTAATTGGCTCTTATCAGTCATGCAAACGCGATCCTACTGACAGAGTTTTAGTGTTGGTGTTTTTATTAAAGAGTTGGTATTCTGCGTTTTGTCTTTTCCCCTATCCTTTATTGAGTTATTTACCTTTTTTGTGCATTTAACAGGTTTGCACAGTGAAAAACCCAAAGTCCAGCCCAAAGGGAGTTCCCATCTCCCACAGAAAACTCTGCTCTGAACTCAAAACCGCTCGTTTGTAGTCCAGCCGCTTCCCTTTCATCCCTGTGACGTCACAGGGATAAAAGCTAAACGCGCCTCATATAACACTCACCAAGCAACTACTCCGACACGCCCTCGGAAACAGCGAGCTGCAGCACACAGCTCTCCTCTCCCTTCCAAACACTAGCTACCCTCCAGGCAGTCAGTGGACATAAAGTTGTTCCTGTGATGTAGAGACAGAGCTCAGTTAAAACTTTATGGATACAGATTAATAACTCACCGCTCTGAAACTCTCGCTCCAGTCCGTACGGCTGAACCCGAGCCGTTTACCGGCTTCTCGCTGACCCGCCCTTCTCTGCTTCTGATTGGCTAGTAGTCCTTAACTAGGAACTGAGCATGTGCAACTCCCAACAAAGATCATTTAGAGACAAGATGTATCAAACATAGCTAAAACGAAGCCTTCAACATGTTAAACTCAACATCAGTCCTGTGTTTTGTTCTGCAGAGTCACAATGATCTTCACTTTGTCCACGTCAGGCAGGGAGGACTGTACTGGGTCGCCACCACTTCGGCTGACTCCTCCCCCTTCACTGTCATCGAGTTCCTCAACAGGTGTGGTGTTTTTTAATCTTTTAAAATCTCAGTTTATTTACCATGTGACTTATTGAAAGCTGGCCCTCTCTTATTTTCACTTTACATGCTTCTGCTTGGTACTAGTTTTGAGAAGTAGAATATTTTGTGTCATTGTTACGCGGATGACACACAGTTCTACATACCAGTTGTACCTGACAGCACTCACTCTCTGAAGAACCTCTTAATCTGTCTGAAAGATATGGATGGATGGCGAGGAACTTCCTTCAAATAAATGAAAACAAAACTAAGGTAATTCTGTTTGGCCCTCAGAGCTCTGTCACTAGCTTAAGCATTTCGCCTGGTGTCCTGACTACAAACTAGCACAATATGGTTTTTTTAGGTGAATTTAGATTTTAGGTGTTTTTATGGATACTTCTTTGAATTTTAACAAACAAATCAGTAGTGTCATGAAGGGCAGCTTTTATCAGCTTAGAACCATAGCCAAATTGCCCCTTTGCTAAGCCCCGCCCCTCTTAGTTACTGTTGCTAAGTCCGACAAACTGTCAGCGCTGCCACTCTGTGTTACTGCACTCCCCAGAGAAATATTATCTAATTTGTTGGAAAGCGATCTCAGAAAGAAGCAGACAGTTTTGCAGTTGCATTATACATTTGAAGATTTTCTTCAGACTGAAACAAATACAGACAGAAGCTAAAGCCTACTGATCACAGTAAAAGTGAACCACCGTATTATTATTGACTAGTGAGAAAGGAGACAACATCATTAAGGATCAGCACTGTTCCTGTACAGCTGGGTAGGCCTCTATTAACTATTACAATCATTAAAAAGCAGAACAGTGGCATGGCTTAGCGATGGGTCATTTTTTATCCCATAGAGACCTGGAAACAGTTATACATGTGCTTATCACCTCACGGCTGGACTACTGTAATTCCCTGTATATGGGGTTGAACCATTCGACACTTTCCTGACGACAATGGTTCAAAATGCAGCTGCTAGACTTTTAACTGGAACAAAGAAAAGACAACACGCAACTCCGGTCTTGTCTCACTTGCACTGGTTACCGGTAAAATACAGAATTGATTTTAAAATTCTATTATTTGTTTTTAAAGCCCTCAGTGGCTTAGCCCCACAATACATTACTGATATGCTAATTCCTTATTCTGCACTAGGTCGCTTAGGTCAACAACTCCAATTAGTACTGTTCTCACGCCTCACAACTAAAGGTGACCGACCTTTTCTGTTGCTGCCCCCAGGCTTTGGAATAGTCTTCCATCTAACATCAAGTCCTGCCCTACCATTGAGAACATGAAATCTAATTTAAAGACCTACCTTTTTTCATTGGCTGTCCCTTATTTATTTATTTATTTATTTTTAATCAAATTTTTTTTTATTTGACATTCTTATTTATTTTCTTTTAGCTTTGTTCAATTTTATCTTTACTGAATAGTCTATATTCTATGTTTGTTGATGTGCATTGGTGCACTAGTGTTCATACTTGTATTTGTGTGTTTTGTGTTCTTGGAAAGCACTTTGGGTCAACTGCTGTTGTTTATAAATGTGCTGTATAAATAAAGCTGACTGACTGAGCGATAATCTGCAGTGCAGCGAGGAAGCAGCCGCTCAAACGTGTCCGTCGGTCTGTGTGATTCTTCGCAGGTTGACAGCTCTGGTTAAAGATTACTGCGGCAGCCTGTCAGAGAAGTCGGTGCAGATGAACTTTGCCCTCATCTACGAGCTGCTGGATGAGGTCGTGGTGAGTCTCCCTGCAGGCTGAACGTGGAGCGATGTTGATGTGCGGCCCCTGAAGACGCATCGTGGCCGGTGAAACTGGGAGTTCACTGAAAAGTCATTCATTGGGTTGAGCAGTGGTAACATTGAGCAGTGGTAACATTTTAAATTGCACCACTTTTATGTAGATGTTTGTCTGTGTAGGTTAAATATTACAGGTTATATATGCAAACATCACAGCCTGTATAAAACATGGAAATAGTGTCCAGGACATCACCTGGCTAACCCTGAAGTGGGCCGAGAGGTGGAGCTGAGGCGGCCGAGTGAACCACCTGAAAGGGCACATGCAACACAGCATGGTGTTCACTCAGGAAATTATGGGAAGAGGAAAATAAATGATAAATTGAGGGACTGACAAGTCGCTCAGCAGCATTTTGGTCGCCTAAGAATGTCTTGTTCTGTGTTCGTTTGTACTAAAAGACACTCTTAAGG